TGATTGTTGTAAGCGGCTCTCCAGCCGCGCTTTCTTGGCGATTATCTGTGCTACGTTTGACTGAGCACCACGCGGTTATTTCTTATTTCGTTGATAAACTGAACATGTCGCTGGTATTACTACACGGTGTAGTTTGAAAAGTAAATTGGTCTCGAAACAATAAAGTCACTAAGTGGCGCTGTACATCGCTTTAATAGTTAAAGACAACGCCATTTGTGTTCTCCACCCTCTGTCTGTCTGCTACTATTTTCTCCCGGGCTGTTTGTAGCTTTTTTTGGTATCTCTTTGTTTGAGCGATGAAACCTCAAACCCATAAGTGTTTTGCCCAGTGATGTTTGGTAATACGGGATCTAAAAATAACAGAGGATTTTCAAAACCGTTGGATAAATTATAGTCCGTTTCCTCGTGGGAAGTCTTGAAATTAGTTCTGGTGAGATTACGTGAAGATAAATTATCTGCGGTCTTTTTTTCTCGAGGAAAAACTTGATAGGGGGTACTTGTCTCACTTTTTTCCAAGACAATTTTTCCTTTTTCTCAGTGCTCTCATGAACGAAAATGTTCCCTACCAAAGGGAGAGCAGAATTGCAAATTTTCATTTTCTTTGTGAGCTCAACTTGCATAAATTTTGATCGATCAAGCGTGGAGTGAACATTATTAGGATGATTAGCGGCGTCTATAAAATACTACACGCGCTGCATCAAAAAGAAGACGTCATCCTCATGGGAATGCTCGCCCAAACTTGTTTGGTCTCCATCGATAACTTTCTTTCTTTCTCGTTCATCTCTTCTCAGGATTTCGCTGGTGTTGTATTTCAGAAGCGGAAGTTTCTAAATGTTTACACTTAGCGAATGTGACATCACATCAGATCGCCCGGTTCGCAAGGGTGACATGTATCCATGGAAGCAACGTGACAAATTGTATTAACATGGTTGGCTCTGGAAATGCCGATTTCATCACCCTAGGACAGAAGAATATTTATCAGGCTGGTAGGTTATTGTAACATTTACAAGGCTGTGTAGACGATGGCGATGAACTATGGGGGTCTCAATGAAGATCTTGAAAAAGCGAGCGCGTAAGTTTATGGAGGGGGCAATGGACTTCGGGGCAAAAATGCTTTCCCTTCCCCACTCTTTTTTTTTTCTTCTAGTTTTTCTTCTTCTTTTTTTTTTTTTTTTGAGCACTCCTACCAAATTTTGCTCGACCACTTTTCCGATTTTTTTCCGCACCGACCGATAACATGGAACTGGCTTTACCTCTCAATGTAATCTATTTTTGTAAACCCTCCTACTCCTAAGATCTGAAAGCTAATTCCCCTCACGTATAACCACACATTTATTTGTGTTAAGCCCTAAGCGTTTTGAGCTTAATGCAAACAGCAAACATCATCTGCGATTAACAATCACCATAATTCTCATCGTTCGTCTGTTTGACATCAGTTAAAAATTGTTAGGAGAATTTATGTATCGATGACTTCACAGTGTGAAAGGGCTCAAGCCCACTCAAATACAGTAACCACGAAAACCGTATAAAGAAAGTTTTGAAATGGAGTCTATCTTAAAGGAATTGCATCAATGCAAAATTTGTCGTTTGCATTAAGTGTTAATCCGAAGTCCATTATTAAACAAACATATTCCTTTCTCATCTTTTTTCATTATTCACTATTCTTGGCTACCCTTAGTCTTCTACGCAGCCGTTGTCTGGTCTCATCGTGTAACGCGTTCTCTGTTTCGTGACGAGGCGAAGGAGACTAAGCTACCGTAGCAAATCATTAATTAAAGGTCTCCGTCGGTGACAATGTTAGACGACCTAAAGAGCACTCAAAATACCGCCACCTACCTCCTTTATTACTAAATGCTTGGCAAGCGATCGATCCAGGTCAATTCCCATTTAACTAGGTTCTAAACATGGTCTTGTACCAGTGGTAGCAGAGGACTACGGCAAACACGAAGAAGGTCTGGAAAGCTATTCTGTTGCCCTTATTCAAAGCAATCTGTCGGATGGTGCAACAATGAATTCGCTAAAGGACAGGAAATCTTGCCACCCAGCGGCGGGGGACGCGGTCGGGTGGACAGCACCTGTTGGACTGCTGATTGGAAGAGGAGTGATTCAGTGGGATGGTTGTAATCCTTACCAGTCCTCTGGGGAGTATTTTGATCAAAGTTGCGTGCCAGGTTTGTGGTTTATTCGAGTTGTGAAGACATACGTTCTTGTTCCACTTGTAAGTGAAATGTGTTTTCTTTTCGAGGATCTAGTAAATTCTTTATGTATTGAAAAAAATAATAATTTAGAGATAAACTCATATTGATTATATATAGATCTATACTGTTACTGATTTAAATTGATGGCGAAGAATCAAAAAACAAAACTATTGTTGTATCATTGAAAAACATCTCAGGCTTAGGGCCAATGTTTACTCCTTGCTTGATCGATAACAATCTATGCATGTTGAACTCGCAAATAAAAATAAATACTGTACCGGATCTAATCCCGGGATTTTAGTATCACAGGCTGATATGTAGTGCACTAGGAAAACATTGAAAGCGCACCACAGCGCTTATAAGTAACACTAAGGCAGGGATCCATCACCGTTCGAGATTAAATCTTCTGTGTTCATCTTCAGGAGCTCTCTCGACTGAATACAACCCACAAAACAGCAATCCCATGAGTCTGTGTGCAATTTGCACCAATCAGAAGACTTGTCCACGAAATGTTTCCGAAAGGTACTTTGGTTATCATGGGGCCTACCGCTGCCTGACAGAAGGCCCTGGGGATGTAGCTTTTGTCAGCCATCTTACAGTATTCGAACTCACTGGAGTGGAAAATGGTTTGAATCCAGGGAGAGATTTTAAATTGCTTTGCCTAGACGGAACTCGAACAGGTAAGGCGAAAAAAGGTGTCGCAATTATAGATATGAACGGCCAAATTAATTACTTTTAAAAGGGAGTTTAGGTGGTTCCGTAATTGACTCTTGATTTCTATTTAAGAAGTTCGGGTTCGAACCGCCACCAAGATCACTGATAGGGCTACTTTCTTCACCTCCCTCCGTTTCCAAGCTTTTAAGTTTGGAAATGGAGCGATTTAAAAATGGAACCCGGAAAACTGCCAAGGAGATCTGTGGGCTCACCCTGTCATTCGTTAGCATCCCTTTCCGAATAAGTAGCAAAATATCAAATAATTTTCCGGTGGCGGAAATCGTAATAGGTTCTGATGGCATGAACCGTATGCACGGCTCGTGTGCAGACTTTCTTTTTTATGCCTTTTATGCCTTTATGCCTTTAATGCCTTTTACGCCATTGCCCACCCAACAGTTAATTCGCCGTAGTAAAGCGATTTAAAATAAGCAGGTCTCCTTTAGACTCCATGTCTTTCTACACTTTTACAACAGATGTTGGAGCCTTTCAACAATGTAACCTGGCCAGGATTCCTTCTCGGGTCGTCATGACAAGGCCCGGGAGTATGGTAAAGAGTTTAAAACAGTGGCTTCTTCGCTTAGATGAATATTGTCGGACAAACCCCCACTTTTTCCAAATGTTTAATTCTTCCACGTACGGTGGTAAAGACTTATTATTTGCCGACTCCACGGTCAAGCTCATAGATGTGAAAGAAAAGAACACAACCCAGGCTTGGCTTGGTGAGAAGTACTATTTTGCGCTTCAGTCACTCAGCTCCTGCCCAGAGGTACTTGCGGTGTCTAGATCACTAACGGTCAGACTCAAACCAAGAGGGACTGGGAAGTTTATATCAATTGAGTTCATCACTGTAGTCCTTACTCTCTATTGCTGCCTGACATAGGACCAAACGGAAATGCTAACACTCGGTGGCATGGTTTAAAGGGGTCCTGGTGTAAATATCGACAGCGGAATCTAGTCACAGCTGGTGTTGACGTGTAAGTGCATCTCTAAGCTCTGGCAAAAGATGGTTCATCCAGCATACCGTATATTAAACGGGATCGGTCAAATATTAGATCAACCTCACTGTCGGAGACATTTTTCTCGCACTTGTAACAGAGAATCGTTCGGCTCTATAAACGCCGACTAACTCCTTTAATTTTACAGTTCTTTGAATTAAATCGGTTTTGAATAATCTATGTTTGTTCAAAAACGCACAGATGAATCGGGGCACTGAACAAAATTGAGGAGGGGAGAAGCAATCCTGATTATCTTCAGATTACACTGAAATACTTCCTAGTAACAAGATGTCTTCTGAGATTAAACGTAATTAACTACAAGCTGGTTAAAATAACGGAAAATGCAACTGAAGGAAAAGTGGAAAAACAACAATGAAAGGTATAACAAAGAATGAATGAGTAAATATGTAAATGAACAAATGAGCAAACGAAGGAATGAATGAGTGAAAGAGTTGACGAACTAACGAAAGATTTCATGAGCAAATGAATGTACGACTTAACTATTCAATTACACCAAAAGCCTACATCAGAGAACAATTAAAAAATTGTAATGGCTTACAACATTAGCTTACTACTGAATAAAGAGTACACCGAGTAACATTGTCTCCGCAATTGTCCGTGTAATTCATGAAATGTTGCTTCAGGTATTTTATACGAAATCGTTATTTAACAAAATGCTAGAAATTTGTCATTTAATGAGAAAAATATTTTTCTGAAAAATAATATTTTGAAATCAGAGTTTTCTTTGCTCTAATTATGCGACCATTTGACTATGACAGTCCGATTTTCGACGACTTCACGGTACTTTCGTTATCTGACGCCGTTTGAGGTCAATTATGCGAAATCGCCTTGTATAGTTTAGAATTCGATGGAAAGAAAAGAAGAAAAGCATATATTCGAGGAAAAAAAATCCAGCCATGCCAACCAACGACCCTCATCTTCCGAACCAACTCTGGCATGCGAAGTTTACAATAATGACCGGCGCGGTTCGTAAGGTCTTGCTAAAGGTTGTCTTACTTACTTACTTATTCCACACCCGTTGATACAGAGCTCTGGCTATAAACCATTAAGTTCAAACAACACACAAGTATACCGAGTAACTAGGAACAAAAACTTTATTTCACTAATCTCCACTAGTGTTCCATGTGCTTAAAAGCTAATACTGTTTAACATCACGGGTCTATGTTTTTGTTCTACGTATGTCATCATGGCTTGCATTTGAAAACGGGGACTTTTTTCTCTGTCTACCTTCTATGTAACTTTATTTCTGTGCAAAGTCTAAATCGACTTGGTCATGCTACGGAAACTGGAAACGTAACGCTATTAAGAGATCATGCGATATGGCTGTTGATTTTGTTGCTCTAAAACACGCATAGAAGCTGGATCACTTGAGTAGCCTACGCGGAACGTATCTCGGTGAAAACAAAAGCTAATGGAAACGCGTGTGGTAAGTTGAGGAGAGAGACTAGAGAAAGAGTTGCTTGTCTGTCATCGCGCGAGGTTCTTTCACACGCAATAAGATAAAATCAGACAAGGGCTTACCAAGCCGAATAAAAGATCTGAACGCTGTCAATTCGACACTATCACATGTCATGCGCGGTGATGTCTTTGAAACTGGCTGGATTATATAATCATAGAACTACACTGAACGGCTTGTAAAGGCTAAAAGCAAATTTTACAAGGAAACAAAGTTTAATCTGAAAAGTGGAGGCGTTTCTTGGTGTTAAGAAAAATATTGATGGTAAGCCATTATTTGATTTTGATCTCTATCTTCTCGATCTTCAATGTTTTCAACTTGTCTATCTCTCGATAAGTAACAAAAAAATCTACCCTTAACATTGACAATCAAAACTGAATGAGTTTTGAACGATAAAGCTCAAACAGTCATAAGGATAATCTGAGCTCAAAAGCATTTCCCTTGCCTTCGCCGCTACCTTTTGACCAGCGACGATAAAAGCGTGCCTAGAGCTTACAATTACCATATTCTCCCTCTACTAACTTTGCAATTAATGATCATGAACTAAAAAAGGAAGTACCCTGATGACCTAACCACTTATTAATCATCAGCTTCATCACTACCCGAAGCACGTTCAAAGTTCGTTTTATATGAACATGTCCAGCAAGGCTGTGAAAAGCACGAGCAAGGAGACGGGCAGAATCGCAGTAGAAGAGGAGGCAGGCGGTGGCGGTAGGGTCGTGGAGGTTGTGGTGTCGCATGAAGTCAGGGAATCCACATTTTCGCCATAACTTTTTCCGAGGTAATCCATAACGCTCTGTTTACCTGCAGGTTGAGCATCCAGTGCGGTTGTTGAATCTTTAAAGAGCAAATTATTGCCGCTGTACTGCGAGGAGTTGAATAGTTGGAACTTTTTCCAGTCCGTCTGTTTCACTCCATACGTTTCGCTCATCTTCGTTAAAATTTTGATGATGTCTCCGATGTCAGAGTTGTTTCCTCTAGTGACCACAGCATGGGCAGGATTTGCGCCGAGATGGCATTCCGTGTGCTTTCCAACAGCTAAAGAAGGTAACAAGAGCATTACATCAGCGCTCACCTTGCTTCAAAATTTTCATAGTTAATGAAATGGCACTTCTAAGACTCATGCAGCGTTCTCAACAGCTCTCCTCTGCTTTGATTGTGCCAGTAAGGCAGGACCCGCAGGGGTAGTTGTAAGAAGTCAAACGTCACTCTGCCAAGTATTTGATAATGCTTGTTAGTGTAGAATCGCCATACACACACACGCCATGTTGGGTAGAACCGTCTTTATTCAATACCACGTGACACAATAGGTTCGCACTGCGTGCGTATACTACAAATTAGCTTCCAGTCTAAAACTATTCAGAGATTATGATTGAACAGCAGTTTGAAAACAAATCAAAATGGGAAAAATTCGTATCGCATGCGCCGTAAATAGGATAATCATAACTGGATACATTACCCATTCTTCCTCCCGTAGGGCAAAGGTATTCGTAATCTTCCAGTTTCCCATATTTTCCTTCTGCAGTCACCTCCTCTGTGGTCGTGTATTTCACAAAAGCAACGTCACCTTTTCCCTCCGCCATGCACATGAAGGCTCCGTGATAACCGACGTATCTATTTTTTGAGGTGTTTGTGGTGCACTTGTCATTCTCAGGGCCAGCACATAGGTTACAGAGGTTACTTACCATTTGATAGACGCCTGACGACACTTTAGATGGGGTACCTAAAAAGCAAAACGCATTGAAAGTGAAATTTTACCATTTCAGTGTACGTATTAAGCGGAAACTCTTTGTTTACTTCTACAAAAGAACCTCGGGATGCATTGAGGAGTGCATGATAGGCATCATGCCGGCTACAAGATTCTAGATTGTCACGAGGTGCAGTAAAGGATTAATTTCCTGCGATAATCATGTTTACGTAGTCCGACTCTTTTGCTGCGCTGTACATCTATTGTCTGTGATAGCATGCGTGTCCTCAACGGTCCCAAATAAGTCGTCGCAGCCTGACTTTAAGTTGTGATTACTCCCACAAATTTAGACCGACATCATTCAAACTGCTATTGACGCAAAGCTCTTTCTGTGCTAAATCAAGTGAACTGGGTGCCAAGGGCCATAAATACCAAAGACAAAAACGCGGCCCTAAAATGTGGGGTTAGCCTAAGTTTTTAAAGGCAAAACTGTTTATGGCCCGGATTGTTCATCGCATATTCCCTAAGCTAAATATGTAATTTCATCATTCATATGACTAATTAGAAAGGTTATTTTCAGTTGATTGTCTGAGGCAAAACAGGAGAGTTCCTTGGTTTTGCTTTAGCTTTTTCCTAGCATTCGAAACGCGGTTAATATACGGTTTTATAGAGAGTCTTCATCGACTCCTTGTGTCTTTTACAGTGACAAAATAAACCGTTTTGGTAACTACATGACACTTACGATCGACTAAAAATTCTTTTCACCGGTAGATGTGATTCAAACAAAGAAATGATCCTCGCAGATGAGTGGCAGTGAAAGAATTAGCGGGAAAGACGCCTGAAAAAATTAAAGGCTTCTATGGAATCCGAACCGAATCTCAAAGTGATACTTGTTTGGCGCCACCACCAGCTGATCTACGAAAAAACATTCTGGGAGCAAGGTGAGTTTCCGTGGTGCATGAATTTGTTTAGGCTTCTTTTCTGCATTTTATTTAATTGCAGAATATTTACGGGGATCATTTATTTTCAAACTGCGCTCCAACTATAACGTGATGGCCGTACCTGGGACACAACTTTCTTCGAAGAACTTTGCAGCCGACAAGTAAGCGTTCGACTCGTTTCCACAGGCCACAGCCGGCATAATCTTTGATCGAAGCAGAAATCCTACAGCCACTTTCCAACCTGCGGTTCTCCCAGCTCCAGTGTGACAAGACTTCTTTCCTCTGAGGCTCTCTAAGTCGAAGCCTGTGTTATTCTTTCTTACCACAGCAACTGCATAATACTTGACCCCGTATTCGCCATATTGTTCAGCAACGATGACTTTGAAATCGTGCGATTTCCCTGTATCAAGAGAACATGACGTAGCAATAAAAAAACAACTCTTGTTGATTATCACGGGTTGCCTGATGGAGTTGAGTTTTCCAGCGGTATTTCTCCCAA